GGAAAACATCATGGGCGTAGATAGGTTGGAGCAAGGGGAGCACTGCCCCCTTCCTCCAGAAAACTCATTGCATCCCCATGGAAAAAGCTCTGACGAGTCATAATATCGTTACAAAGCCAAACACATTAAACCTATATAAAGTTACAGCAATTGAAAATCTGCCTTCATCGGAAAAGCCTCTCACTATGCTCATAGAAAGCTTAGACGATCATGAAATGATTGACCAGTACATAAAAAACTATAGTTGAGACATTCAAAATTGGCATAGTCCGCAATAAAGCTGTCGCATTTACTTTCTTCCTTTAACTTAACTAGATTAGAGCGGTTGCTGACAGAACACCTACTTTTGCCTACGACAGATGTTATAGGGAATATCCTAAACATAGAAAAGAGATGTCAGGTAGCACTTGCAGCGGACACTAATAAAAAGGAATAACATTACACCAATTCATGTGTAACAGAAAGAGATGCAGACTAACAGAATTTGAACGTGTTATCAGCATCGGACTTCAAAGAAAGTTCAACATTCCCAGGAATTTAGGAAAGCAAAGATGTTTATTCAAAGATATAATTCAGACCAGGCAGTTATAAAGCCGACCCTGATTTTTTGCGTACCTAAGCATCCTATAACTGTTGCACCGCTTAATATCATTCGGTTAGCTCTTTTTACTTTGTCTGTACTACTCATAAAGCAATTCCTAAGTTAACAGGGGCTGAGGTTTGGAACCCAGCAAATAACTACAGTTTCAAGTGGAAATAAGAAAGAAGATACGTCCATTCTCACAGATAATTTATTACAGATTTTCCCAAGTATACCTGATTTTTGAAATACTTTAAGTGTAACTAATAATACTTGGCTTGAACTTGATTTGAATTCAAGCCAAAACAAATGACTTAAACATCAAGTCTACCAGTTCTTGGTATATGAAAGTATATAATAACATTCGCAGCGATATGCCAATTACTCATTTTTTGGTCGTTTTTTTATATTCTTGGAATTATTCTCATAAAAATATAAAATTAATGTACCTAGAAATAATTAAGAATGTACCCATATATGAATCCTGACTGTTCCTACTTCTAACTCTGTTTCATCAACATAAAACGTTTAAAAGCCCAAAACAGGTTTCGATACCGAAGATATCATCCTCAGTTAAAAACTGTCGATATGGCAGAATAAACGCCTAATATGGCGAATCCTCTCGTATTTGTATCCAATGCGATCTTGTTTTACTTGATCGTAAAGATTGTGCTTTAAGGATTCCTGAAAGTTACATCTGGGGGAGATTGTTATGTAAACGATCGGTGCAAATTTTAAATTTTAAATTTTCTCAGTCAACTGAAGCTTCCACTTCATAATTTGTACTCGCTGTTACTCAATGAATACAGTGACTGGTCGTAACGACACGGTGTTCATAAAAGCGGCAAAAAGTAGAGAGGCATCAGAGACGTTGAGATAGTTGTTAAATAATTCAACAGTTCCGTAAATGAAACTTTTGCTCTACTGTACACCGGCAAAGGCTTTTGTTTTCATTTTCAAACTGCATTCACCGGCTGAAAAGAGTGTAAAGGTTTGCTTTAGAATCGCTTTTTCCTTTCTGCAATGTACCCGAAGCGATTACCATCCTATTTTTCTTGAAATTAGAACGTATTGTTCCTGGGTCAACGAGGCATAAAATATATCTAGTGTCAAAGGGAAAATCAAGGCCTATATTTAACATTTAATAATGAAAATGTAGACTCTCTCAAAAATATAACGAACAATTTTTTATTACAGAAATGTATGTTCTTAAGAAATGAAACAGGACGAGATTTTTAAGTAATTTATTATCTTGATTTGTACCTGACGAAAGTTTCTTTATTAAAACTTTAAATCGAAGAGGATTTGTTTTTATGTTTATTAAATATGTACCTTAAGATGGATAACGAAACACATAAAATCTATCATTTTTGTTGACCTAATAAACCTAAAGAACAAATAAGACAACAAAATATTATGAATATACATACGGTACGTTTTGGTCTATTATTTTCATGATATATATGTTTATATAGCATTAGAGCTTGATTAGGATTGTAAGGTACTTTATTTTACTGTAAACTGTAAAGCCGTAAGGACATTGACCATAATTTGTTGCTAATTTTTCAATAGTTTTCCAAGATATTTTTATTTCGGAATATGTGTGCAGTGTGACTTCCACGGTTCTTCGATCGGTTTTCGCGAAATAGCTTGAGGCTGGACGAGCGACAAGATGGGTAAAAGTATCTTTCAGCGACAAATTAGTGACGGTATTCTACGCTATTCGAATTTTGAGATACGTAATGTCTAGCACCAGTTTAGTGGCTGTCTAGTCGTTTTTCGCTGGAGAATTTGAGGATAGACTAGCGACAAAATGAGTAAAAATATCATCTTTCTGCGACAAATTACAGATCTTCATAGTATTTTTCTACGCCATTTCTATTTCGAGATAATTTCTATTTGCAACGCCAGCTAGGCGGTTGTCCGGTCGTTTTTCGCTAGAGAATTGGGAGATAGACTAGCGACAAAATGAGTAAAACTACCATCTTTCAACGACAAATTATGGTCCTCATAGTATTTTTCTACGCCATTTCTCTGTTTTGAGATACGCTGTATGTGTAGCGTTAACTTAGCGGCTGTTCAGTTGTTTTTCGCTGATCAACTGGAGGACAGGTTGTCGACAAAATATAAAAATACCATTTTACAGCGACAAAGCAAAAAATTATAGCCCTTACAGTATTACAAAGCAATTTGTATATTTTTCAGCTGCCTGGAGAAACAAATTTTTAGATTTGGTAAAAAATTCTTGACAAATTCTAGTGCATATTAAAAATTGTATAATATTTCATGCTAGCTTGACATACGTATCAACTTTAACCTCTTATTGCAAGGCTTTTTCAAGGCAAGTTTTTTAAGTGGGCTAAAATCTAAAAGAATCCACAATATAGGCTAAACGTTGGTTAAGGAATTTTATGAGATACAATCTGACACAAAAACACAAAATTTTTAAATTATCTACGTATTGTTGCATTGAACACTTAATTATTTTCAAGTATTTTTAAACTTTATAGACGTTTTTACATTATATTTACAAATTTTTAATTTTAAGGAAGAAAACTTTTGACTGTGAAAATGCCCTGAATCTAACTTCTTGAAACTAAATTCTTTTATTAACTATTGATATTATTTATTGACTTACACTCTATCGTTTTTTCTATTTTTATTTGATTTTTATGTCCGATGAGATATGTATTGTCCATAAGAACCCATGTAAAACTAATGAAAATTAAAATCGTCATAACTCATAAACGGTTCGGTAAATCCATTTGAAATTTATTGTGTCCTTTCAAGTTAAAAAGAAGAATATCCTAAATTTTCATTGACTTTCAATCGTTTTGGAATCGATCAGAAAACTCCTTAACTGTGTTNTCCTAAATTTTCATTGACTTTCAATCGTTTTGGAATCGATCAGAAAACTCCTTAAAATAAAGAAAGTTACAACTCTCATCAGGCTCTTATTCTAATACATATAGGTAAATTGATGTAGTTTTCGTAGGATTTGTTTAATAATTCCTTTTTAAATTTCTACGCTTCATGTTTGATGTTTATAGATAATTTGCACTTTCTGTTGGTCTCTTAGCATTAGATAGAGGCATAATGGATGATGCGTAAACCGTTGCGTAGAATTTTTAATATAATACGAAAGTTGTTGTATAAAGATAAATCTCTTTTAACATTTGTGTGCATCTTTGAAAAGAGGTCTTCAGCTAAATGATTGCAGTTTCGAACATCCGACTGTTAGGATACCTTTTTCGGTAATTCTTCGTGTATAATATTTAAGAGATACGATACCTTCTATTTTTCTACTCAGGCATGCTACCTACCTATCCATTTTCTAAACTTTCTCTGTAACATAAAACCCGTGTGAAACGTGTTTAACTGTTTTAAAATTTTAAGCCGCCGTATAAGAAGGTAATTTTGTTACACCGTTTTGGGAATAAACATATAAGGAATAGGACTTTTTGCGTAAAAGTATCCAAAAGGCAAAGTAAGTACTTAAATAGAAACTTCGCTTTACAACTTGTTTAGTTCTTATTTAAAAAGGTTCGTACTTTAGTTCCTGTTAGTAAAAGCTTTTAAGAAGTAGAATACTCATTTTATTAATTCTTACAAGTTTCTTGTAGCAGTTTTCGCCTAATGTGAGTAGACATTTTTTTGAGCATATTTATGTGTTTGTTTTGGTAGTTTTTAGTACCCAGGTATTTACGGATCAAAGGTTTTCATAAAATTTGCATTTTTCTTGTAACGAACAGTTCCTTATTTAGATGCCAAGGAGCGGATTCGTCGGGATGTGTATATTATGGTTTTACTTGTAAAGGAAGTAAAGTAGCTATAAAAATGAGTAGTGACAGGCAGAAAAATGCCTATTATTATGTAACTTAAATACGAATTTGCCGTTTTTAGTAAACTGTACATTTATCGAGTACTTAATAGGAACATTTGTTACCTAAAACAGGACAAATATAAATATGCGAAACTTAACGTTTGTGATTAACTTTTATTAATTGTAAGTGAAATATAAATAAATACTTAATATTTATTAATATGAGACAAACTTAATGTTAATTACTGTTATAACACTTTTCTGATGAATTCCTATTTCCTATGCGTTAATGTTTGCTTCTATCTCTTTTAGAAGCGATTTTCACTTTTATTGCCCTAAACATATTTGCTTTCAAAGTAGGTAACAAACTTCACGATTGAAATGTTTGATTTATGTATTTTATCTTCGATATGCGTGCATGCCTATCCAAATATTGTTGTTGGCACTTTCGGTAACTGGATCACTAGATGTAAACATGGAAAAATATATTTTTTTCTTATTAGTTTAGAAAAGGGTTCTAAGGAAATTTCTTCTTTAAAAAAAATGAGTATCTAACGGCGTATCTCATTATTCCTACATTTTGCATGCTGTATTTACCTTTAAGCAGAACTTTAATCCTAATCCTCGGAGATATACAGCAAGGAGCCCTTCAGGGATGTAGCTTATTGACCCCTTGTTATCAAGAAAAAAAAAACAAACACAATGTCACGACACAATACTTTTCAACTGGCACTATCACAGGTCACTGATCTTGAAAAAAATATATTATGAATAATAATTATACTTTTTTAATAATGTCAACAAGTTTAAAAATAATAAACGTATCTATCAAGTAAATTGATTCACTAAAATGGTTAAATTAGTTACTTATTAGATAGATTATACTTAGCGGATGATAGTTTTCAAAGTTTAAGTTTGTTCGTAGAAGTTTACGTATGAAGAAAACACGTCCGCGCGCGCTCTGGAGGAAATACGACGATAGCCCCACGTCGGCGTCTGAAAGCGAACTAAAGCGAAAACTGAGCGTCGAAGCTGGAAACAGCGACAGGCGCCAGTTTGTATGTTAAAAACTCCACACGCGCTCATCCACTCCAATACTCCAAAGGCAGTCCCAACGAATAGACTTGCTGCCTCTTTAGAATAAAAGCGTCCTTAGGGCTACCCGCTTTAAAGTCTATCACATGCAGTGATTGAAAGAGAGGGAAGGACCCTTCAGGTGACTTAGGTACCTTAGCAAACCCAACACTACAATAATCTTCTGTTGTTCGCATTCCATAAGGTGAAATTAGCAGTTTATTTTGTGGAGGACTACGGTTAAAGAAAAAGGACTAAGTTTTTCGTACAAGGATTAATTTTTCGGTTTGCAAATTAAAAGAATAGAGCCAATTTATAATTCTACAACTATTTTTGAAAGTATAATGGAGCTATCTTCATTGGACATATGTAAGCTATCGTTTCATTAGAAACAAAAATTAGAAAATTAAAGCTGACATAGGCTAAATTATTTTATGGAAAGGTAAAATCTTAAAAATCCTATTCCTATCGAACCTTCTTAGGTACATGAATCTTCAAATAGAAAAAAGATATACAGAACATGTTTTCTGCTAAAGAATACGTCCACAATAATAAACCCGATCGCAAAGGATGGGCCTGTATTTGCACCTAGTCTAGATAAATAACTACAGGATACCTAAATGGTTTAAAATTCAATCGTTGTATACCATGATCGAATGTGGAAAATTTTACATTCCATATCACTAAAAAAAGTAAAAATTCCAATGATCTACAAAGATCGAATTCTTGAAGCATGTGATTAGATACTGGTAAAAACAAGATTTGGTTATTTCAAACGCCTTTGGTTTAAAACAAATCACTTAATTTACATGCCAGACATAAAAATTGATTACTACTGACTAATGACAACTCGCTTGGCTAGGTTTACATTTCTACTTATTTTAAACGGGTGCTTGGTAGTCTATTCGCAAACCAGAAACACACCAGACTGGAGAAATTTCGAGTATTGTAGGATATTCAAAAGTTTTTTTAGAACACTGGTCGAAATTGATATATAAAAATACTCTAGATTACTGCCTGAGCCCAGGTTCTCCCAAGTGTAATGGTTCTTGGACATTCTAGAACATTCTCGATACTTCTGGTTCACTCAGTGTAAAACATTTTACATGAGGACAATCCTAGGTATTCGAGAACATTCTAGATGAGAACCGACCTCCAAAAACATTCAAAAACATTCTTGTAGGTGCATTCCCATTTATTGTAAACTGATTGTGGTATCGGCGATCCACCCTTAAACCCATGCATACTACAAATTACAAAAGTTTCGAACATTGTAGAAGATTTTATACATCTTTTATAAAAAAACCGAGTTCCGCCACCTAAGCGTAATGATTCTCGAACATTCCAGAACGTTCTAGATTACATTAGTAGAACATTCTATGTGAGAACAATCTTCGATATTTGAGAACGTTAAGGTCACCCTGGAAACAATCAAGGGTAGGCAAAATAACAAGACCGGTCTCTCTGTTTACATTTTGTTGCAAAATCTTTGTTTTTTCGTAAAGTTTACCTTTCGTTCTTTTGTTTCCTTTCTTTCATTAGCATCAGCGCCGGCTGATCTACCACAAATCCATCATCCCACGACGAAGAGAGAAAAAATAATAAATAAAATAATAAGGAGAAAACGGTGTAGCTGTTGTTGGTTTGCTCATCAACGAAGCAGTTAGCAGTTTGCGTTCACCGAGAATATCAAAATCTTTCTTGACGAATAGTCGGTTTCTTCTCGCATAATTGCCGCTGCACAGCGAGTAGTTTTATGCTTGGAATAATCTTAATCACATCATTTGCAAGTTAATGTTTTGAACAAGAAGGAAATTTTCATCAGTTGTTACCATCTTGAAAATTAATTTGCATCTCATATTCTCTTTCACTTTGCTAGAATCTAGTCGATAAAATAACTACTGTTGAAGTTTTTAGCTTTGGCCAGTTGCAAACACGACCAAGATAATTAAATAAAAACAAATAATGTAGATCAGTAGATATTGAACTAAACAAATATCATAGCAGGTCAGTTTCAACTAATATTATCGAATTCTCCTTTAGGTAACTTCATTCCTTTACGTTCACCAGTAAACCCTGAGCTTTTTTAGTTTCTCTCCTGAAATCCAGAATACTGATCACCATGAACTTTTCTGTTCGATGTAGTTGCAAGCCTACCGCGTACGATGAGCTACGTCGTGGAATATTGAATTCTACTAAATGTAGCATTGTCCAACAGATGGCGTTCATTACGCCATTTGTAGAACTTCTTAAAACGCTGTCTCAGGGCAGCTGAGTTGGTTTGTCGAAACTGTCTGCGACGCGCTGATGAGATCCAACGAAATCGAAATCGCGATCTACATTTGGCAGTTTCGATAAACAATAAAAAAAATGAAATCAGAAATCACTCTTGCTTTTCATAGTAATTCGCTTAAGAAGTCTCCTAATTAAAATACAACAAGAGACCACAAAACAGTCGGTTTAATAAGAGGAATACATAGGCAGGTACTTAATTAAAATACAACCTTGGAACAGGTCAAAGAAGATGCTTCTTCTTCTTGCAGTAATTCATTTTGAAACGCCTGATATTTTTATCTGAAAAGAAAAAATTAATTGCCACATATAGCGTTATAGGCCCATTTGCAAATCAAATGAGCACCAGAGCAACGCTGCTGAATGCTATTCGGTTACGGTGCGGAGATACGTTGCTTGGAATGCGTATTTTTCATTTCGATAACGTAATTAGAAAGTTAAATCTTGACGGAGTGTTATCAGTCCTTTGTTTCTTTTTATTATTATTACGATTATTATTACTGGTGTTAAGAGGAGCACCTAAAATTCCAACCGAATTATTATTGTCACAATCTTGATAGGAGTGTCGCACTTATTTAAATATCGTAATTGTTATACAATGTAAACAGCGGGGTTTCAAAATGTATGTACATTTATCGACTGTATTAATCCATAACGCAGAAGTTGAATAATGGGGACAATGTACTATCGAACAAAATTAAAATGATTCGACAACCAATCGAAAATAACAATTTATTTTATTGCCTATGCTACACAGGGTCCAGCAGAATTCTATTGTTGTGAGTTGGGGCAACATTGTCTGTCCGCCCATAGGTGTAGGAGAGTTTTGAAAACTTGTAAAGGAAATGAGATATCGACGGTATGGAATCCTTGGTACTGGAACTTTATTTAAGAGGGCACCAGAGGCAGATAAGGAGCGATTTTTTTTACTCTAACTGTGCTTTACTAGAAGGGCTAGTCTTCGCATTTAAAAAAAAAAATTGAAACACCCCACACCCTCAACACTATTTGCGAATAGTATGGGTTTATCTAACTGTTCCTTGTTCCTATTTCTATTTCTAATGTTTTTAACTACCTCTTCATGTCTCAGAATATGACATACCACCCTATCTTTCGTTCTTCTTTTTAACATTCATTGAAACGCATATGGAGTCATGTTCCGAACGTACTCTCTTCACAATGTTTTGAAATTCTAAATTCTAGGCATTTCTTTTTGTTAAAATCAACCCAATCCTGCGACATCCTTTACTTTATTTCTCTATCGCCTATTCAACCAAGCTCTTCTGTCAATACCGCTTCCTACCTCAGGGTTAGTACCTACATAACTGTAGGTACTTCTAATAAAATATTATAAATGTAATTTGGGCTTGTTAATGTTTAAAACAAACTTTTTATAATTGTGATCGGTATAGATATACCTATTGCAAAGGTGTTTTAATAACAAGAGTATAGAACTGTAGACTCATGCAATACGTTACCTTAACAATGCTTTTCACTGTTAATATGCATGTTATGCAACGAATCCATTGTGTTCTTTGTAAAGAAGAAAATGTTGCAAGAAGTTTCGCTTAACTTTTAAAGAGAAAATGATGTTTGCATAGGAAAACAACTATTTCAGATTTTCAATCTTTATTTAGGTACTTATCAATGTTTGGTGTTCAATATTTGAAAAAGAATTCATTAATTTTCTACCAACTGATAAGACAATTACTTATAGGAATAAAGGCAAACCGAAATTACATTTTGAAATTACAAAGTCAGATTTGGAAAACTTTTTCTAACAATAAAAGTAATATTACTCTCAAGATCTTCTGTTTTTGGTTCACTCAGCATTGCATCGTATTGTGTCGGAACTGATTTGAATATTTCTTGATGAAAACTTCTTAATTGTTTGTGCAAGAAAGTGATAAAAACTTCAAGCAAAAGATGATAATTTGTTTCGGCAGAGGTTGATTTTGAGTTTGATGAAAAGAAGACAGAGCAAAAAGGCATTCAGTGGAATTTTCTCTGATCAAGATGTTACAGTAAGAATCATTTTCGCGTTTCTAAAAAAATTGAAAGGAAAACCTACAAAGAACGGGACTTTCTGTAACGTAGTAATTTGTTTTTTTGTCGTTTGCTAACTCGCAACCGCGGCAATTACATGGCCTTAAATTTCATATCTTCGCGATCGTCTGACATGGTACAACGGCTTAGATAGCGTAATTAGATATCGGACAGCTGCAACAGTCTATCGCACATGCTTCTATTATTATCCTACAGGCTATAGATAAAATTCCATAACAGGAAACAAATTTATTGAAGCTACTGCTTTTATCTACAAAACAGGACTTCACAACAAGCAGCTATTGTAGGAAATATTAACATATTTCACGGGGTAAAGTGGTGGTGGCGGCATAATGCTTGCGAGGTATCTAAGAAAATGATCTAGGTTTTACAAGGTTCTTCTGGTTTCGTTTTATACCTTCATAATCATGTAAAATTCGTTAAGTACCGTATTTAACCCAGGAGTGGTCAACCCAAATGGTTTTATGGGTCAATTAGACGTAATTTCGTATTCCCATGATTAAGAAACAATTAATCATCATCAATTAACTCTAGTTTTATTTCCTCGAGCAAATTAAAAAAGCTTTCTAAACATTTTCATGATATCATCAAATTCAGAAGTTAATTTGCTAAGAATACAACAACAAACAATTTTCGG